TCCTTAAATGTTATGTCATTTTTCGTGTATGTGAAGTAGATTAATTTTCATATATACACAATTCGAGTTGTTTCGCAGGTGTTGAAAGTATATGGCGAAGCGAACGGCAACGGCGCGAGGAAGAACAGCGCAGAAAACATGCGCGCGGCGAGGATACTGTCCGATCAGTGAAGGAAGAGGGCTTTGAGTTAGTGGTGCTTTACTCTCGAATATGTTCAGTTCTGATAGTAAATGGATGATTAAAAGTTAATTTCAAATTTACAGGCCAAAATTCCATGATGCTGCTGAGCGTGAGCAATGGGAAGCCGAGCAGAAGATAATCGATCGTGAATGGTATGACAACGATGGCGTGTATGACGAAGAGTACAACCCATTTGCAAAGGTATATCATTTATTATCCTCATAAATCGTTTGCAAAGGTTTTTTATTTATTACTTTATCGATTATTGATTGTTGGAATTTTGTGGAACTCGCTTTCAGCATGTTTCCTGTTGATTATTTCTGAGAAGACCTTTTTTCTGGCTCAGTGACAACGATCCTTATGAATGCAGGTCAGCGAAGAGTTCGTGGAGAAGCGTGAAAAACAATGGCAAGAGAAAACGACCTCGGCACGACCTCGCCTGACGCTGAAGCAGCAGTCTATAAAACGGGAAAATGAGCTCTGGGAAAACAATCGGCTCCATAGATCAGGTAATTGCGATGGGTACTTGTTCAACTTGGTAGTTTCCTGTTGTTCCTGTTCTAACAACTCTTAGAGCTTTTCAATTCTAGGTTTTCCTTGATCATTGATTACCAGTGAAACGTCTAATTTCTCAGGTGTGGTGGCGCTGACAGATGAGCTGTCGACTCTGTTCGATGACGAAACGGATGAAAATCGTGTGAATCTGCTGGTCCATAATATAGTACCGCCTTTTCTCGATGGTCGCATTGTATTCACAAAGGTACAGTACTTTGAGTAGGTAAAAACCTCTGTGTTTACTAGTATTTTTGTCGGAGAAAATCTGATTTTCAGCAATCGAAACCTGTTATTCCGGTAGTTGACACTACCTGTGACATGGCCGTCGCTGCAGCCAGAGGAAGCAAAGTTGTTCGACAGTTCCGCGAGTCGGAAGAAAGAAAAAAGGTTAGGCACATAATCTGTATGTGACTTTTTGGTTAGATCCAAAATTTATTTAGGCTCAAGAAAAGCACTGGGAATTGGCAGGCAGTAAGCTGGGAAATCTGATGGGCGTTAAGCAGAAACCCGATGAAGTAGAAGATCCTGATAAAGATGACGCTAGTGATTACAGAGTAAGTTGCTGAAAACTCATGGATAGTAGTTTTCTTGTGAAATTTGAAGATCAACTGTATGAAATTTCAGGAATCTCACCAGTTTGCCTCGCACATGAGCGAAAAATCGGAGGCCGTGTCCGATTTCGCAATGGAGAAGACATTGAGGGTAAGGTTTGTACTTTTTATGGCGCCAGTACCTACCGCTATCATTCCTCGCTTATGGGCATCTTGAGGTAAAAGGAATGTTGCGATTTCGGTCTACAAGCTGCCCATGCTAAGCGATCTTGGCATGTTTACTCTAGCACCTTCTTGCTCTTTCATCTGGAGGTAGTTAGTAAGCAGACCCGATGATGGACCAGCGCAGCTATACATTATACGAAGTTATACGATTTTAGTAAAGGATAACGATGAGGGCGAAGGTGCTTAAACGGAAAGTGGCGGCTCCAATCACAAGCACGGCCCACTATCAAGTTCCGTACCGAATCAGTCTGGCCCAGGTCAAACAAGCTGCCATTTCTTTGGCTCACATTTTGATCTGCACCAGACTCTCTAGCTGCACAGAAGAACTTAGTGTACGCTCTGCCCACCCCCCCCCCCCTCCACCTCAGGATATCCTTTATGAAGCCAAATCGTTATGCAAGTGCTATTTTGAATTTCTTGAATTGGAAGAAATTCATGGCCGCCCCCATGAAAGGATGAATCAGCGCGGAATGCCACATCTTCTACTCTTTCATAGGTGGTGTAGGGATTCCATTCCTGCCTAGAGAGGTCGTTTTGAGTTCCATAAAGCAGAATGATAGAAGCTTATATTATTAGTGTAATTTCGAGCGCCTTGTATTGTAGAAGCTGCTCAAAATCTTGCAGTCCGGTTTGGGCAATCGATTTAAATCGCGGAAAACTTAGAGAACAATTTGAGTGAGCTCATAAGGCGATTCACGCTTCTAATTGTCTTTTGTTGTTCAGGGGAGGATTTCAGAGCGCTTTCCCCAGATTCTTTTCCGTAATTTATTGAGGCTTAGAGTTTACGATTGCTACTCTAGTCTCTATCACTATAGCAGGCGTTGTTGGAAGCTTTAGTGGTGTTTTATTGGGTTAGTTATTGTGTTTGCAGCAACAACGAGAATACCTACCCGTATTTGCGTGCCGACAGAAGAATGCTTAACGTCATTAGAGAGAACAATGTTGTGATTATAGTCGGAGAGACTGGTTCAGGAAAAACCACACAGCTTGCGCAATATTTGCTCGAGGAAGGATTTGGAAGTACAGGTAAGATATTTCGCGTTTTTTTCATAAGCCGCATTGTTCAGTAGGGTTGTACAAATTCAAGATAAATGAGCTGTTATATTGTAAAATCAAGCAGCAAGTAGGGGATGAGGCAAATCCATTCCTCTTTTGGATTTGGAGCTAAGAATGCTATGCTGGCACAATTCAGCCGTTGCGGGATTGGATGACGTAATGGCAGGAACCTATCTCTAAATCGAATCGAGTCTAAAAAGTTAGTGAAGAGAGCTAAAGGCAATTTCAACAATAAAAAACCGTCACTGAGAAAAAAGGAAGAAAAGCGATAAAAGCTTTAAGTTTAAGTTAAGAGAAAAGTACAGCCTCCCCTTACTGGATTGTGTGCAAGGATTTGAGTCAGACATTCTGAAAATGAGGGACACAGGCTATGATGCTAGAGGACATGGGGACAAGTGAAATGCTGGTACAAAAGCATTTCCAACGGTGGCCGGATAGGAGCCCCACAAGGTAGTCGGATCCCAATGTGATAAGTCTGGCACCCTGCCACGAGCTTCCGAGTCGCGAGAACGACACATCTCCTACCTTTGTGATTAGCTTGATCCTACTCGCGCCAAAGATTGATACAACCGGATTTATCATGATACCTCCACCAGTTCGTGGCTGTAGCCAGCCACTAGTAGCTGATGAGTGATAGAATCTATGTGGTTGGCCATCCATTTAGTGGTCGTTTAACAGTTGTAGCATCTCCGATACACTTACTGTGGCGGGACGTCACAATTCAGTTCATCCAATTTTTTAAGGCAGTTATCTCTTTCGGCGTCAGTGTGTCCTTAAAGGAGTCGTGTGGTTTCGTTGAGTTATGCCAGTTAAATGAGCGCCCGAATGCCTCTATGACTCTTAATATAAGGCAAATACGATTCCAAAAAAAATGACCTGCGTTAACCATTCTTATTGTCATTTTCAGGAATCATCGGTTGCACCCAACCACGTCGAGTTGCTGCTATGAGTGTAGCGAAGCGTGTAGCTGATGAAATGGATGTCGAGGTATCCTCGTACTTTCTAGCCCATGAGTTTGAACAAATTCTATAAGTTCCGTATTTAGCTTGGTCAAGAAGTCGGATATGCAATTCGTTTCGAAGATTGTACATCAGAGAAGACTGTGATAAAGTACATGACAGATGGTATCCTGCTCAGGGAATGTCTGGGTGACGGCGATCTTGATCAGTACAGCGCTATTATCATGGACGAAGCTCACGAACGGTATTTTTCGATTCTGCACTCTTGTTCCTTCAGTTATTAAGAACTTTTTGGGGATCGAGTACATAGCGATTAACGAAATTTACACCTTATTTGTCGGTAATTCGATGGGTTTCCGCGAGTACCCGATGCTGTGCTCTCGAAAAGAAAGCGAGCAGTTAATTGATATCTTGAGATCACGTCAGTTTCAGTTCACTCAATACTGACGTTCTTCGTCTACTCGAGATGTGATTGCTCGGACGCTCCAGATTTACGCCTTATTGTCCCCCCTCCCCCCCCCCCCCCCCCCCCCCCCCCTATCCGCTACAATGGATGCCGAAAAGTTTGCAAATTTCTTTGGAGGTTTGTTTCTGTCCTATTTTTATCCAATGAATTGTATTGCGTTCTCCCATTCTTCCACCTCAGATTGTTTCTCTGTTTAGGCAGCTGTCCAACATTCACGATACCTGGCCGTACGTTTCCCGTGGAGATTTTTCACGCGAGAGCTCCGGTATCTTGGCAGCTTTTGTTTTCGATTTTTTTTTGAATTCATTGCATTTACAATCGATCCTTGAGCGGAAGTAAAGTAGTTCGCCCAAGCTTGTATAATCATCCATCCCTCCGAGGTCCCTATAGGTAGCAGTCCAGTCCTTAAAGGAATCTTCCACGGACCATGGACCAGTGGGCGGGACCGGAAGTGGTTTTGCGACGAAATGCATGGTAGGTACGGATCCACGTTCATGGGAAGGTTTGAAGTGAATCCTGTTCACGTTCGTGCGTTCGACACGTGGATCCGTACCTACCATGCATTTCGTCACAAAAACTTCCGGTCCCGCCCACTGGTCCATGGTCCGTGGAAGATTCCTTTAAGTAGAAGGATGTAGCCAATAACCGTATTGGTTATACGTTTTATTCTATAAAAAGGATTACAAATGGGGGAAGGGAAGAGGGGAATGAGTGGTTCCGCGCACTGTAGACAACTCCTCCATCGGTCGATTCGAGGTTTATGATTTGAAGGAAGCCCATTAGAGTTGAGGTGCAAGGTGGTCAATGGCTGGGATGAAAAAAAAACTATGGGAAACTACCCAGAATTCGAGAAATGGGATCCATTCCTTGCCCGTTGATTTCTGCATTGATAGCTGTAGATTCTGACTTTTAACGAGGTTAATGATTTTATTTGTTAAATTACCTGTCCACCCAGTCGTATTGAAAACAACCAGGCCTAGTTCTTATTTGAACAAGATTGTATTGAAGCGGCCGGTCACTGCCTTACCCTTGGGTTATCTCTTTGTTCTGCTTCTGACTGGTTCTTGTACACAATTAGTTTGTTTCCTCCGTCTGCCAAATTTTTTCTGGTTGGAAAGATTTTCCTCCATTGCAGGTGGAAGATTATGTGGATGCCGCCGTCAAACAAGCAATCACTGTTCACCTTGGTGGCATGGATGGAGATATTTTGATTTTTATGCCTGGTCAGGAAGACATTGAGGTGAACACAATTCTGACATAGGAGAATTAAATCTCTTAGAATTCGAAACTCGTCTGTCACAGAAGTTACCCCATAGTAATCCATGTTTTACAGGTAACCTGCAGCCTGATGAAGTCACGACTCGAAGAATTGGATGAAGCTCCACCTCTTGCTGTGCTTCCAATCTACTCCCAACTACCCAGTGACTTACAGGTAAGTTTTTCATTCATTATTAGAATATTTCGAGGCATTTAATTACGTCATTTATACTTGAAATTCATCTCACAGGCGAAAATTTTTCAACGTGCCCCTGGCGGCATGCGGAAGTGCATTGTGGCCACGAATATAGCTGAGACTTCTTTGACCGTTGACGGTATTCTGTTTGTGATCGATCCGGGTTTCTGCAAAATGAAAGTCTACAATCCACGTATTGGTATGGATGCTCTCCAGGTTAGTAATTTTGTGCTGTTTGCGAGGAATGTGTAAGTAAATATCATGTGTAGATTGTGTGTATTGTCCATGTTTCGAATGTTCCCTTGTTTTCTGCTCTCTTGTTGTTCTTATCATGAAGAACTTTTTGTTGCTGCTATTGATTTGATATGACTTGGCCATCGTTGCTGACCCGCACTATCCAAAGGGTTGTAGTAGCTAGGAAAACTTGTTCATTTTTGATTGCAGGACTTTACGTAGGGAAACGAAAGCATAGGGAAATCTCGCATGAAACATCGAAATCGTAATAACTTCGTATAGCATACATTATTTAAAAAGCCAATTCCTATTTTTGCTCAAATCTCACGCACGGAAATATGTCCGTAAAGTGCGGCTTCTTTGAGCTTCGAATTATCCTGACTTCTCCTATTATAGGGGTAATTATTTTCGTCCTTTTTGCACCCTATACTGCCAAAAAAGGATGAATGTTCTACAATTCCTCATGACACGTTCTACTTTCTCCCGTGTCTCAACGCAGCAATAAAGACTAGTCTTCGGCCGAACAGGCCAGGACAATGTTTCCGTCTCTTACACGGACGATTCACAGTTTCACATAGAAGAGATGCCGTCGATTATGCTAGAATTTCTAGACTAAATATGGTCGAGATTCTGACATCCTCTATATCCTCAATTTTTACCCGTCTTTCCGAGGCATGTGTTTCGCTGTTTTAGGTCTCGACAGTCCCTGAAATTCCAACGAACAAATCTCTCGAACGTCGTGCTGCTTCTGAAGTCTCTGGGTGTTGACGATCTGCTCAAGTTTCACTTTATGGATGCGCCACCACAGGATAACATGCTTAATTCCATGTATCAGCTATGGACCCTTGGAGCCCTCGACAAACACTGGACAGTTCGTTATATTTTCCTATTTCCTCTCTGACTTTTACTCGCAACTCGAACTTATTGTGAGAGTTATCATAGTCCCGTAATCCCTCTCAACAAACATGTTCTGGAGTCAAATATTTGCGAATTCCGTCCATTGAGGCTGTTACATGTGAACTATGCTTGTGGTTCCAGACTCAAAATTAGGTTAGGTAGGACCATGGTTGAGTTTCCACTGGATCCTACGCTATCGAAGATGTTAATCATGTCAGAATCGATGGGATGCAGTGAAGATGTCAGTATTTTGCTTTTACTTTCCCGATTAGGAAAACTGGACGACCTATAACTTTTGTCCTGTGAAAATTAATAACCAACAAAGTTAGAAGTCGATTTTTACTCTGATTTTTGGTTGCAGGTCTTGACCATAGTATCTATGCTTTCCGTGCCGGCGATATTTTTCCGACCGAAAGGTAGGGAAGATGAGGCAGATGCGAAAAAGGAGAAATTCCAGGTGATTTCTTTACTTTTCTTTTCGTTTTCTCTTTTGTTTTCTTTTTCTTCTTTTCTTGAACTTCTCATTTTCTAAGGTACTGTCGCTGAGCATTTTTTTCATTGCTTAGATTTTTAATTTGATTTTGTTCTAGGTCCCAGAATCAGACCACTTGACGTTTTTAAACGTTTATTTGCAATGGCGGCAACATAAATATTCGGCTAAGTGGTGCGCAGACAATTATATCCACGCCAAGGCCATCAAGAAGGTAATGACTAATGTCGATAGTTTTGAATATGCAGAGCTTTAATTTTCGGACTCTGTAATTACCATAGAAATTGGTCGGAATGAGTAATGAAGAACATTTTCCCAGGTTCGTGAAGTGCGAGCACAACTAAAAGAGATCATGCAAGAGCAAAAGATCAAGATTGTTTCTACCGGAAGCGATTGGGACGTTATACGGAAGTGTATTTGTTCGGCGTATTTCCACAATGCTGGCAGGTTTGAAAATTATCTTCCATCGTTTATTTTTGTCAAGTTTAACATTCATAGATTTATTGTTCGAGCGAAACAGACTACCAAATCTGGCGCTTGAAAATGCGACCTTTGAATTTTCCTCATTAATGCTTGCTTCCAGGCTGAAGGGTATCGGTGAGTACGTCAACGTCCGCACAGGTATTCCGTGTTTCCTACATCCAACATCCGCATTGTTTGGAATGGGTTTCATGCCGGATTATGTGGTGCGTTACTATACAGTTGTTAATGTTGGCCTCGAAATTAAATAATTTAATTAGTTGAGAATTCAATGGAATGTGTAGTAAATCATGATGTATAACCGGTAAGGACCAGACTGAAGGGTAAAATAGGGTTTGCGGCAAGGTCAAACGTCTCGGATGAGTCAGACGAAAGGGGTGCGATCTGTGGTTTTGGTGAGGTGGTCGTACTACTTTAATATCCTCTTCTCCCTCCTCTCCCTCCCG